TGTGATGCTGATCCTGATAAGCGTCCTACTGCATCGAAACTTTAGAGTGATATTGACAAGCTTATTGAAGAAGGGGAAAAGGATAAATCTGGTGACAACGTGTGGAATACTATCTATCATACTGATGTAAAGCCATTATCACGTCTCGAGAAAGAGAGTAAATACTCTAGTAAACTCTTACATACTGGAGATTTGCCTAAACCGAGAAATAATTATGATTTGGATTCAACTGCAGGTATGTTATGCATTGGGTACAAATAAAGTCAGTTTACAGTACTAACATCGCATCGGTTATTAATAATTTAGTGACACAAATGCTCTTGTGATCCGCGGTTTATTTACGAGTTTTACTCAAGGAGTTTACGTCTCTTCCAATTAGATATATTAAATGTGTCACATGAGTTGCACATTTACTGTTAAACTTCTTTTACAGGGTAGACTATTTGAGTATATACGTGTTAATATAATGGTTATTATTTAAAATTTACGATACTGAATAAAAATGCGTAACTACGTTTAAGCTTCATTGTTAGTTTCAGTTGGGTTTCGCGTTTCCTAAAATTGTTTTTATACAGTACCTCTCCCAAAGGGACTTCGATGATCTGACAGGTGCCATCTTGACATGGCTGAAAGTAACGAATACCACGGTAACCATCGCCCGCAGTGACAACCTTGCTTGGTTCACCACCGGCGGTCGAGAGGCATGTACCATTACCAAATATTGCTCCAGCTGAGCAGAAAGTGTTTGTGGATAACTTGACGATCCATGCAATCGCAAAACCATCTTGTCCAACTCTTCATCGTGATTGCTTTATTTGACATTGGATAATAGTATCTAAAACGCAATAGCTATAGCTGCTTTATGACTAGAATGCAGAAATCCTGTAGATAAAAGTTATCCCAAGCCTTCTTGAAATCTTCTAATTGAATAAAATGTCTGGCATTATTCCACTGCTTATTATTATTAATAGTATCCATCTGTCGAAGATCAATGATAATGTAGCCCTTAACGATGCAAGTTTAACAATGCAAATGAAACTTGCCGCTCCTTTGACTAAAGAGTTTAAGTATTCGTCGCAAACCTTGGAATTAATTCGCTCCAAACCTTAGCCGAGGATTTGTACAATAATCAAGGGAAATTAATTTTGAAAAAAATGCTGTTTTAACAGAAAAAACCAAGTCAACAAGAGAGAGAGAGAGAGAGAGAGAGAACAGAAAAGCGTTTGTTTTTTGTACCGTATTTTTAGATACCGTTTTTTATATATAATTTGCGTTTTTCTATAATTTTTTTCAGGCTTACAACTGACATTCAAAGCACTAAACGAAGAAGGAATTAAGGCACCGAAAATCAGTTGAGTACTCCGGACGCAAGTGTACCAACTATGTATGTCAAGATCGCAAAATAACATTTAATTTGCCTATCCAAACTTTTGGCCGAGTCTGAGCAAAGAGTAAGTACTATATTGAAATAGGGAAAACAAAGCAAAGGTGTACCGTCATTGGGTGTGTTTGTACCGAATGATTTATTTGTTATATCGATAATATAAATAAACTATAACTACCATAAATTCCACTGTCACAACAGTCCATTAACATTTCACATCCATTTGATTAAATTATCATCATTAGTTTATAAGAGTTTTGAAATATAGAAGTTTATTATTTAATACATATTGCAGAAAAAGTGTGTCTCGGTATTTACGTAAATAGAGCGGAGGCATGCCTGAATTATAGTTAGCATGGTTAGTGAGAACTTGAGACTTTGTCTCTTCTTACCCCGATGTATTAAATAGAACCGATAACTCTGCTCGTTTGAATCTACCAACTTCAATGGAAAACATAAAGATGGTTTGTACAATTTGGTTATACGCAAGTTTGACATCACAATTTGAACAATACATGTTATCACATCATAATAAACATATTTACTGTCACCAGTATAGTGAATAGTATAATATTACGTAACCTCACAAACAAGCTCCTTTGTGAATATGTAAGCAAGTTGAAACAGAAATTATCGTGTAAATGTAGTGATTACAAGAAGAAATCATCAAAAAAATTTCATATATATGATCTATTAATAGTAATAGCTAATGTATTTATTCGCTGACATTAACAGACCTACTTTTTTGTGAGCTTTGCATCTTAATTTGCCATCATTGTCTCTTCATTTTTTTAATCTTTGCAAAATTATTACTCTCTCAAATAGTGTAAGGACCAAGAATACTTCCCCAATACCCTTCAGTATCAAGTGCTTGTTTTAAAGTAGTTACATTGAAAGCAGGGTCAGCTTTGTGTAAACTTTCTCACTTTTCCATTAAACTTAAAATGCTTTTAAAAAAAATTTTTTTTTGTAGCTCTTTTAGATTTAACATTAATAAAGTTGAAGATCTTTTTTAAACCTACCACGCCGAAAAAAATTTTTTTTTTTTTTGTTTTCTTTGTTTACTTTTTTGAACATATAATTGTTACGGCAAGCTAACCGGCTGCAAAACCATGCCTCAAGACACTAATAGCATCACAAGCTGGTCCGAATAAGGCGCACCATAACATAAACTATTTAATAATGGTCGAAATCATGACCGGACAGAGAATTCATGTGATCAAAACTTTTCATAGTGCGTAGACAGTAATACAGTATAAATACAATGAACCTCTTCTCTTTGAAATGCCTTTACTGTGCCGGTCTCACATTCAATCAGTCATCAAGTTCTAACAAAAATTGAAATAAAAGGCATAAAAAATTAGCGTTACGCGACAAGCCTCGTAGTCCGTGACTGAGGAAGTAATAGCTATAAGAATATGGGGACTACTAATTCTGCGTCATGGTCAACAGAAGTTTGGCAATTTTGTTCATATATTTGGATGTTAGAGTTATTCTCTCGAATAAAATGTAAAGTGTTACAATTACCCGTACCGAAAAAATAAACACCCTCTTTACAGTTCTATATTATTATATAGTACACAATAAACCCGAACTGCGTTAACTCGAATTTCCCGTTATTATTATCCCTGAACCTTCATTTTCACATAAACCGAAGAATTGGTACACAGTTGACGTTTTTCGATAAATAAACGCCTATTTTACTATATATGAAGACAATTACAGTAGAATTATAACACTATAAAACTACGCTAATTAAGATAAAATAAAATAGCTTTGATGGAAATCATTATAGAATAGTAACGCGTTATTATGGAAGAAATTGTATATCAATAAAATGACTGTAATAGTAAAGGAACGATTATAGTAACTATGATAGATTGTCTTTGTACATATCATAACGGAGCTAATATATATACACTCATTTGACAAAAGTATTCACGATTTATGTTGATCAAATAGTAAAACATATTAAATTTACTTTTTTCTGAACAACTGTATTTTATATATTTACTATGTAAGTTGTAATATTTTATATGGTTTTGAAGATAATTGATTTTATTTTTCAACAAAATAATTCTTGACCCAATCCTGTTATCATTTTACAGCTATACAACTCGTTGAAGTGACCATATCTATGGGACATATAAATTTCATAACATTTAATATGTGGTAACATAGATACTGTCACTTCAACGAGTTGTACAGCTGTAAAATGATAAACAGGACTGGGTCAAGAATTATTTTGTTGAAAAATAAAATCAATTATCTTCAAAACCATATAAAATTATTACAACTTACATAGTATATATATAAAATACAGTTGTTCAGAAAAAAGTATTTTTTATATGTTTTACTATTTGATCAACATAAATCGTAAATACTTTTGTCAAGTGAGTGCATATATATATATAAGCTGTTTCCTGAATATGAAGTTGCAAATAAAGTGTTTAACTGTTAAGTAATTGAACAATGGATACTTCCAATCAAACAATTGACATTACTAATAATCAAGCAAAAAGATGTTCCCGTTGTGAAAAATGCAAAAAACTTGACGATTTTATTCGATTAAGTAAAATAATTTACAAGAATTTTCTTCATGCAATGCTTGTGCTGAAAAGAGAAAAAAGAAAAGATCCGAGAGCGTTAGTGATATAGTTAATTAATAAATATACATTCATCAAGTTCAAACGTAGCTGAAGATAACCGCAATGAAATGAATATTGACATCAAAAACAAAGCCTTGTATGATTCAGTAGATCTGGAAGACTTAATTTTGAATTGCTTCCCAAACGTTGAAGAAAATAAGCAAGTCTTTGTTCAGGATCGAAGATGATTTAGTTACTCTCTCATGCGACAATCAAGAGACCGATGAGGAAAGCAAATACCACAGTCTAAGTTAGATCTTTTCCTCCAGTGATTAAAACCGGATCGCGTTATTATTGGAAAATAAGAAATTTTTATTTTCACACAAAAAACAATCAGTATACTGGCGAAGCAACAGTGTATCTTGGTTGCGCACAAAGAGACAAATCGTAAATCTACGCGTCCAGATGAACGTCCATCGAAAAGAATAAGTGAAGCGAGACCTGCAATTGATCGATATCCATGTGGTGGAAACATTACGATTAATATTAATATCAACAAATGTCAAGCGACTATAGACATAGCGGCTCACGAATATCTTACGCATCGTGAAAATCCCGAAATGTGAATCGTGGTTTTCGAAAATTGAATTTTACAAAAGGCTTCGTGAGAAAAAGCTAATCAATCCGACAGTTCATACATACCAACAAGTACAAGGTTTGTCAACTTCTTTACCGATTGAAATTTAAGAAAAATTCTAAATACGCTTCCAGGATTTGAAAAAGCCCAAGTGGTCATGCGGTTGAGTACTACTGGGCCCTAAAATTTCCGCTCAACAATATGTAAATCAACTTCCATCTCGTAATTTCTTGGAGCAACAAGAACTAATCGAAAATGACTTCGTCTGTGCACTCGTCATATACAAACAAATAACATTCAGCGAAATAATCGTTGATTCAACATTTCAAACCAATTAAGTAATCAATAATTGTGGCGGGTATGGAGTCCCGCTTATCTATATGTTTCTACAATGGCAGCCTCATCAGAACGTTTACATGATCTAACTAATAATATCAATACAAGAAAAGAATTCTTTTCCTTACTGAGAGCGGACGGAGTTTTGCCTAATTTCATTTTTTTTTAGATAAGGACGCTGGGGAGATAGCAGCTGAGGAAGCTTGGTCCTGGACTGCTAATATTCAAATTTGCTTATGCCATGTGGAGCATGCAGTTGAGCGAAAATTAAGAGAAGAGACAAAAGATGAGTCAATATACATCACAGGTGGCAAATGATGCAAGATGACAGTTTGAGTTTATCGATGAACATTGGATACCCAATGGACAAGCAAATGACTTGTGTGCTGAAGGAGATATTTTGAAGATGATTAAAAGACATTCTGTCTTGCATCCTCTTATTCTCATAAATGAAGAAGCATTGTTCACTTCTGATGATATTTATTATAATCGGAGTGTTAGAGAGGCATACAATTACTGCAAGCAGAAGAATCTCATTTACCTATGGGGTACTTATGGATCAATTGGTACAAGAAAATTGATGGAATCTTTTGCTCGAGCCTCATATTCAAAAGCATTACCATTAATTAGCAAGAACCACAATTGTAAACGTAATTGCAACTGACTTCGCCTGACACAGATTTTAACAAACGAATTACTTCCCGATCAAATAGACAACCGGGAAGGTACTGCGGTAATCGTACATTCCCATCATGGTGGGGGGCGTTCAAACAAGACTGGAAAACTGTATTAGAAAAGAAAGTTAATACGGTTACAATATATTATACTGATATCGAAAGATGGATTAGCTCATGTTCTGCATTCGTAGGCAGTACTTACCTGTTATGCAAGCATCTTGTAGAAAGATACACAGCTGAAAGTCCAAACGTTTTTCCTCAGTTTGTTCTTACGAAACGAAAGGCACCAATCTGTTTCGGAAGTGAGAATGTTCCAAGTATTGAGCCAGCAAATAGTCCCTGGGATAATTTTGTTGAGGATTCTTCAACTGAATTTGAAAATGAATTAGAAAATAGTGACGAGTTAAGCTTGCGTGATCGAAATGAGTTGATTGACTTTAGAAAAGCCGAAGTGGAAGAGGACAAGAAAACATTCGAGGCTTTCTTAGAAATCGTTTCAGACAATGTTGACAATGATCCCTTCTACAATATTTATAAAAAAACTTTAACAAGTGAGGCTGCGGCTTGCCAGGAAGCATTGAGAGCTAGAAGACAACAAAGAACTTGGAACCCTCTATGCAGATCTAAACTTGTCTTTTGGTTAAGATAGCATTGTAATAGTATACAGTAGCAGGGTCGAATAGCAGTGTAGGTGTTGGGGAAGTATTGTTTTTTATAACTATATTTTAATATTTATAACAGATGACAATAAGAAAAACTGTAGCATGTTTATCTTTTTTGCGCGCGTCACTTACAGCCCATGTGCCCTGACCGAGGGTTTGGGACAGCTCGGAGGTCACGGGACCGACACTTTTTGCCCATGACTATGCTACTAAAAAATTAAAGTTATTAAACTGGGTTCACAAATCAATATTAATGCTTGTGCCATATTAATATTATATTTTATCAATGTGACTTCGATCTTCTCAGTTCTGTCGCTACGACCTTTGTGTTGGTTGGCGTACACTGCTGAAATGCGTCGCTTTCAGCGACGAAATCTGCTTTTTTTGTCTTTCTTACCCTTGTACTTAGCTACCTCGCAGTTCCTTTTTGTTTGACTATTTCGCATCCTGTGATCAGCACGCAAGGTCTTGCAGCCATCCGTCAGCACTTTGTCCCTGTGTCCTCAATTTACGGCGAGGACGTAAATTTTGTTATGGAAGCCCTGGTTTGAAATTCTCGGTCCTAGTGGGAAGGCCTGAATCTCACGGGAGCAATGAGAACCATAAATGTGTGGTTACGCATTATAGAGCCGCCGCCAATGCTAGAGCCAGCATGATGCTAGGTCTGATTTGGATACGAATGACCTTCTAAGCAGGCAAGACGGTCAGATGTGGGTATTGTATACCGCTGAGGCTTTGAGCCCATACAAAATGGCAAGAATGCGAAAAAGTTGGAGGCCCTGTATCCGTACTTTAATTACAGGTAAGAAGGACACGGAGAGTTGCGCACATGATGTACTTGCGTTTGTCGGATATCGCTTCAATTCTTTCTTTGCACCTTTTGTCGGATTGTTGACCTTTTTGCTCGATTTAACGGCGATGAAAATAGGTCTCAATACCGTCTCAACTCAAATTTTCTATTGTCTACTATGACACCAAGATTATGGAGCAGCTATCAAAACCTTCCCCTTCATTTTCACCTGATATTGAGCCGGTAGCGTGGATAGGAAGCAACTACGATGGCAGAACAAACGACATGTTTACATAAAGGAGCTTATGAAACATATTCCAGTTGCAAGTTATGGCTTCTTCTGAACAACAGGCCTTCATTACCATGTAGTTGGCCAGCCAGTTTCCATTGTAGCAACAATAAAAACACGCTCAAAATGGAAATTTTGTAGGATGAATTTGCAGTCGTTTTGTATCATTTCAGGAGGGCAAACCATCGAGTATTTGTCTCGCCATCCTTTTACCTGGCATTGGAAAATTCAAATTGTGACTACTATGTTACTGAAAAACTCCAGGTGAGTAATCGTTCTCGTGACGTTTATTACGAAATTGTTCGTTCTTGTTAAACTGATTATTTTGTGATCCTCATCCACTTGGCTTGTGGAGACAGGGCTCTTTCGCGGCCGGAGTTGTTCCTATCGTAATGGGACCTAAAAATTACACGCCATTTATTCCTAAGCCTCATTCTGTAATCTTCCTCGATGATTTCAGAGACCCGAGAGATCTTGCTAAGCATTTGCGTTTTCTTCTCGAACAACCTGAAGAATATCAGAAATATATTGACTTTCGATTCAATCCACAGTTGATATCAGAAGAGTTCCGAAAGGATTGGGATGACCTTAACGGATGGAACCACGATGTCGAGCTCCGTCGGCTGTGTGCTTTGGCTTGGATGCTCAGAGCTGGGAAGAACTTGACTTCTGACAATCCAGAAGAAGATTGGATGAAGCCCAGGATTATAGAAGCGGATTCTTCGTGCGATGAGATCTTTGACAAGTATGCGTATGTTAAAACTGACTGTCAGACTAACGGTGCCGTGGAGCGAAAGGTGCTGTTCCTCTTTTAGGTTTTTGACGCGAGAACATTGTGTTAAGATATTTCATTCCCGTTTATACGTAGTTTGGATAGTGTGTGAGAAAGTTAGGTTTTTAAACTTTAATGTGACCAGGCGCCATGTAGTGTATTTATGCAATGTTAGAACTTTCCGTTTTTACTTATTTCGAACTAGATCAAAATTTAGATGGGGCTTCGTCCCCTTTATTGAGCATTAGTACAAAATTATATTTATTTATTCTATACAGTATACGAATACTAAAAATCTTTAACGTATGAGAAATGTCGCATATACTAATTATAATAGTTACATTTTATCATGTGAGAGTAGGTTTAATTTCGTCGATGCTAACAGGCATTGTTTTTGATACATTCGAAGGGAATTGCCTCTTTATGAGGCTTTCTTGCTTAAACAGATTTTAGCGAATCTTGATTGCTTTCTACTATGGATGCAGAAGTGGAAGGGGTGGTTAACGGTGATATTGGTTCGATTCAGATATCAAAGATTCGATGGTTCACAAAGTTCTGCAACTCACACTACTTATCACACTTCGCTGTGTTCTTCATCCAATTGTTAAAAGTTTGTTTTACATTACTTTTATTGGTAGTGAAAATAGATACAAGAACGGTTGTTTGGATACACGGAAGAAGTTTCTTTCTTTGCCCCGACATTTGTTAAAATTTTTAATGTCTTCCGCATGTTCACCCACGGAAACCTTATCACGACTTTTACTCCTTTAAATGACCAAGTTTGAAAACTTCTGCACAAACTGTTTAGGTTAGATAATAGTCTCGGGCGTGCCGAACTTGTTAATATTTTCGTTTATCTGACACGTATATGGACCCCCCATGTGGTCCGTATGCGAAATACCTTTTTCATTCTTTCGATGCTTTGTGTTTCTGAAAGACAGGGAAAAAAAATGGTAGTTCATCGTATTGTGTCGTATCGTGTCGTCTTGTGCGATATCGGTTTAACGAGGTGTAAATAAAAAAAAAAGATTCATTAAATGATAAGACCACTGCCATATTCCTTTGTTATCTTTCTTGCTCACGGTTTATTCGTGACACGGATATGTGATCCCCTGAGCGGTCCGTATGCAAATACCTTTTTTCATTCTTTCGATGCTTCGTGTTTCTGAAAAGACAAAAAAAAAATGGTAATTTATCGTGCGATATCGGTTTAACGAGATGTAAATAAAAAAAAAGATTTATTGAATGATAAGACCACTGCCATATTCCTTTGTTACCTTTCTTGCTCACGGTTTATTTGTGACACGTATATGTGACCCCTGAGCGGTCCGTATGCAAATACCTTTTTTCATTCTTTCGATGCTTCGTGTTTCTGAAAAGACAAAAAAAAATGGTAATTTATCGTATTGTGTCGTATTGTGTCGTATTGTGTCGTCTTGTATGGTATCGGTTTGACGAGATGTAAATAAAGAAATGGTTTATTAAATAATATAATCACTGCCATATTCCTTTGTTACTGTGCCACCATTTCTGTTATTTATTGCCGCAATTCGTCTTCTCATTTCTTCAATTTTGCTCTCGTTTTCTTTGGTATGTCTTTATTGACGTTACATGATTTAAGAATTTTCTTCTCTAATTCTTAACAAAATTTTTTTCTTAGTCATTACTTAACAATGGGAGCAGGCATTTCTACTTGCAAATGCGAAAATCCGTACGTATGTACAAGTTCCAAACCGTGCAATAACGGCTACTGCCATTTTCCCTATGAATATTGCGGATCTTGTGGTGGCGAGTTGCCGAGCAAATCTACAAATTATTGTCTTTGCAATAACGGCGGTTGAAATTTCCGGGCCAGAAACTTTTTATTAGTTTTTTGCTATTGTTAAAGCTTGGCAAACTATTCTATAAATCGACACAATTTTCTATTAAAGTCTTAAATTGTGAATATTAACTGTACACAATGCCAAATAATGGTAAACTTTTAAGTGCGTTGATACGGTGCTTTAAATCTGTCTTCGCTGCATCACCTTTGATGAATATATCGTAAGTGTTACCCCCATAGATTGTTGGCTCTAATAGCAAATATACCTACTTGGCCTTAACGTACGTTATAATTCATGGACCGTCTGCTTAAAGACACATATTAAACTGCATTGTTTAAATTTTTTTACAAGAATCATCGTATGTTTGCTGGTTAGAATAACAATGCAATGTTATCTGTTTATTTCATTTCCATAATATATCACGGAATAATTATTGGTCGATGTATAAATTTAACCAATAAAATAACAAAAATAATATTGTGTTAACTTATTATTTATAAATCGCAGAAAAAAAATATTTATTGATTGTTTTATTCCATGGGACTAAGATTTCTGATTCTATAGAAAATCGATAAATTGCTCTAAATCTACATTTATTACTAACTCTTCTGGATAATAAATTTTAAACAAGTTGTACAATTTTCTTATTTCACATCTTATATTATTATCTATATCAGATGCCGGATACGCTATCAAATTTGTTGAGAATATTATTTATCATAGCTTCGATAATTTTTTAGCTGACGAGAAAATGTCTTTTCAGCGCAAAGTCTCGAAGCGTTATTTACAGAAAACTATTTCATCGCTACACCCAGATTTATGTCGTTATTATTGAAATCATAACTTTCATAATTATTCCAAACGTCCGGAATTTTCAAAATTATGTCGATTACCCCACAGAAGGGAATATACTGTGCGACGTTAATATTAAAGTGTTTGATTTCTTGACTATAATCTTGGAAATAAAGTCTCACACCTGATTTCTTGACTATAATTCATAAGTGTAACTATTAAAACTTTATTTGCACGTCTGACATGGATTTCAGTAGTACGACGAACACTTGTGTATAATTCTAAAAACGCAGAAATGGTCTGTATTGGGAAAAATTTGCTTTCACACTTGAAATCTAAGAATTTCCTCATGAGATAGATATACAAGTGGGTCTCGATAAAAAGGCACGCTCGGTTCCAACCCACAGGGCCGCAGCAGCCGTGTAAATATAAACAAACACATATTATTTTTGGAACTATACAGTAAAGTGATCGTAATTTCCCTCATCGAATGATATCTTCCGCCCTATCTTTATTGTTCTTATAATTAGAACAGTTCTTTAAATTCTAATAAACGAAGTGTTATAAATATCGATTATTCGTATGTTCTTTGATCAGAATACAGACTGAAGTGTAAACAATGGTGTTTATACACTCGATCTTACATCAGGATTATTATTATTATTATCATAAACACGTTTAGTATCAAAGACTTTCCCGACTGATAGACTTTTAACTTGAATCCATCAAATTATAATCGAAGCAAGAAAGCTCTGTATGGCTATTACAGAATCAGCTTGTCTTCAACTTGCATCCAGGTGATTTCCTTTTTTATTGCAAGGAAATAAGATGCACTTATTTGATAGTAACCATTGGGAATTACACTTTCTAAAATTGTAATAACATCTGGTTCATTGTTGGTATCATCAGTAAGCACCAATCATTTTGCATTGATCCTCTTCAAAAATTTAGAAAATGGATCCTCATTAGCCATTGTATTCCATTCAAATGATGCCTATTGTCCAAATAAATCATCTTCTGACCCATCTTAATCTATGCAAAATTTTAAGCTTTTCAGCAGCAGACTATGATGAGCATTAAATTTTTGGCATTGTTATTGTGGAGTAAGGGGTATGGCATACAAAAAAAAAACTTCTGAATTTAAGCATCATAGGAATTTTGTCCTGATTTTCCCCCCAAAAAAGTGGTGCTTAAATTCAGAAGGATATGGTACACATTCTAAGGATGTGATAACATCTGGAATCATCAATCCCTTTGTGTCAACCCTCATCAAAAAGTTAGAAAATTCTAATTCATTCTAATGTTCCTGGTAATGGTTTGCCCTTCTTATTGTATTTTTGAACATGAAAAGTCTTCATATTTCCTAACATGACAAGAGAAATGAAGGAACAGTATGGAACAAAAAAACGCGTATGTATAAAAATTAGTGTGTCACTTTTCATGTAGACTAATTATTTACAAAATAATATATACATCTTATCTACATGTGAACAGCACTTTTCCAACAAAATATCACAAACATAAAACAGGACTGCTGTTTGCAAGACTGACACCTGGTGACTTTATTAATATGTAATTTGTCAGAAACCTCAGAATCACTATCAGTAAATTCATACAGTGACAAAAATTTTGCTGCTGATCTGTAGATATTTCCAGAATTGTCTTGTGGAATTCACATGGTATTTGTTCTACACAATATGTTTTATACACTCCATCATTTTCAGCCAGAAAACCTTAGTATATAGTAGTTGTTTTGAAAAAATCCTTCATATCAATGTCAAATATTTCAGCCTTGATGTGATGCCACCAGAGAGCATAGTATTAAAGTTGTCATGTTCAATAGTTTGATATTCTATGTGTTCTATTTCGACTGTGAACAATTGCATATTAATATGTCACTATATCATATTATTATATGTGTTAAATGTTCATTATTCCTTGCATTTATCTCAGATAAAGCCTGGATTGTGTCTTCTTGCTTTTATTTTGGGTTTTTGATGATAATGTGATGTATATGTGGCTGAGGATGTTGATGGAAATAGAGTTTTCCAATATTTATACTTTGCCCTTTTGCTCTTTGGTTGTTTGTTGTGTTGTGGGGGAGAGTTTGAGAGATGTCTCTGGTCCATACTATGCTCTGTGGTTGGAGCTTTGTATTACACACTAGCATTTGAGAGGTGTCATGTGCAGAAAATGCTGCATTTATTAATATTAAAGGGATTCATGGCAGTCTTATCATCTTTGTGTTGTGAGGCAGATATTCTGAAGAATATCTGGTCTTGTTGTTGTGGTTTCATATTGGCCAGGAGATTTAAGTGATCAGAATTATTAATTTCAAGTCAGTACACTGTGATAGAGAGTTATTGTCTTTTATTTTCAGTTATTGAGATCCATGATGTCATTTCAGTTTACAGTGTTTATGAGTGGCAATGAAGAAAATTTGAACGAGGATCCTTGATCATACAAAATCGAAGTGATAGATGGGTCATTATAAACGAGACTTGATGTTTGATTGATATTTCAGCAGCATGATCATTTTAATGTTTTTCAGCAACAATGCAGTGATTAGTGATAGCTAGATTAACATAACATATTGATCATTGAGATTTCATTTGTTATAAGTGCTGCTGTTGTATGCAAATGGATGAACATGTTTGATAGTTTGCAAAATGGTTGGACAGCGATTATTTGGTTTATATATTTCTTAGTACAGTCTGTAGATCAAATCTGCAACCATACTCGAAATCTGATTGGTGCTCGATATTGTTAGCACAGAGACTTTGATGACGCTTTATCGGTCAAATACTTCAAATAAAATTTGAAAACTAACGATAGAAACATACTTTACGAATATACTCTTTCAGGATCCCCTCAACTTTACATAGTAGTTTTTTGTTAACCTGAGCTTAAAGTTTGCACAATGAACGCAAAGGTCGCTGCCAAATACTTACCTGAGTCTCTTGCCAATGAATATGACGAAAGTCAGTTAACAAGATACGCAAGCAGAGAGTATAATAGAAATGGCTAAGTATTTTCCTAAAGTATTTGTATTACTTGACTCTCTAGATAGTTACTCTTATGTGAAAAGCATTACAATCAGATTGTCGTTAAAAGTATTAGAATGAAACTAGATGATTCGGACTTTTTAGATTCGGAAGAAAATGACAGACAAAGACCGAGATTTTCTAACAATAATAGGTTGCCGTCTTTCGAAAAACTTTTTCTGAATTCGGAGTCCAAGTCAGATCCAGCGTACGAAGTGCTTCTGAAAAGGGTACACGATCTTGAAGATTTGAATCAGCGATTGTTGTCTGAGAATGCGGTATTGAAGCAGCAATTGAATGAAATATTTGCAGACCCACAAGTCCGTATTAGGACTGTGACGGAAATTGCTAAAGGGGAGTGAAGTAACTTGTAATAAGTTTGATTGAAAAATCATGAACGATTTGGTTTAGATAGTCTTTTAGAGCTTTTTTCTTCAAAGCCGTTGACAATGAACAGAAAGACAAAAAGATTGCATAGATCGTGAATATAATACGGTCGTATTTCATAACGTTACGAACTTTGTCGCTTTTAATTACGATCAGAGTAACTATGTTCAAAATATGGGTCCTTGGCTATATTATATATTCTAAACTTCCTGAAGGAATCATATTCGGGTTCGATAAGGGAAGACACAGTTTGTAAATCCGACGCTTCTAATCGTGGTGGTTTTTATGATATAATGGTGAATTTACACTAAGTGAGGAAATGAACGATTTAGTGGAATTGCGCGGATGAAGCGAATAGACTTTATCAAAGCGAAGCTAATTAAGAAAATATCGTTCGGCGCTTGGCATCCAATTTCGATAACATCTGAAGATGCTGTAACAAAATCACTCTTTGATACAATTAGAACGACCACGATTTCGAGGTTTATCAGAAGTACATAAAAAACTTGAATTTTAAGCCAATCACGTGTTTTCTCTGATGTTCTACAGTCAAAAACTGATTTCGCAAATTCGATTGGCTCGATAAACTGGTGAGAGCGTCCAAATTATCTTACAATTATGGTTATTAGCCATAACCTTTAATATTAACGGAATAATCTTGGCGATTTACCCAATATGTTTTGTTTACGTTTTATAAGGCCAAAATGTGTTACCACTTTACCAAATATATAAGATGAATAATGATGATAAGACGCGCGTTTACTTTTGTTGCTCCGACCCGAACATTTCCACGTGATCCGAACATTTTTTGTTTGCCATCCATGGCTAGGGTACTAATAATCTGACGACAGATCTCTTAGATTAATCCTCTCCATATGAATGTCGTTTCAATCTAATAGTGTGATACTCAATGATAGCAAATGTCTCTCAATTGATTAATAATAGATTTAAAAAGTTATCAAACCTATAAAATAGCACATATTATAATGAGTTTCACCCATCAGTTGTTGATCATATTAACAGCAAAACATGAATAAAAATTTTGTCTTGTTTCAAAAAAATCAATGTTTGGGGAGTAGGGGTATTTGATATTTTGATAATCATCATGATTGTCACATTTTGATATAAATCATGTGAACATACTGTACATTGATTACTGCCTTTATCAGATTTATCATTAGGTCATATCCACAGAAATAATTCAGAAAAGGGTGGGAAATCTGGAAAGATGCTTATTTTGAATTACTGTATTACAGAACCTGATTTTCTGTAACCTAGGAAATATCAATAGTGACCATATCTCAGTCACTGGACATTTCACAAAATTTTTGTAAAAATTGGTAAGCAACACATTTACACAGACGGAGATAGCTATGAGACAACTACAGTTTTACTATGTAAGCAAGTGCTGCGTGCACTCATACGAGATATAAAGACCTCTGGACATGGCAGGTATTGCCGCAATCATTCATTTCGTCAAGGTTAGTTGGTAAGAGAGTTTTTTCAATATTTGATTAGTTGTTACGTTGTGTGCTCATGCCAATATCGCTTATAGTTATATTCAAGGTCCAACTGCCATGTCCGGAATTCCAGACATAGAAGATCAGCTGATCGGCCTACTTATCGTGCTCATGGACATCACCACAAGAAAACATATCATCTACAGTCTGCTCTACGCCGCCGTTCCGCCATGGTGAGGTCGCCGAGGCGAAAAAGTAAGAACATGTAATCAGGAGGAGATGAGCTGCGAGCCCGCGGCGGCTAAGTAATAATAATAATGCTGCGAACCGCGCGGCACGCATTTAGTAGATGCTGCCGCGGCCAGAATAGAAATTTTCGTTTTAATAATGAAGCGATGACATTATATTACATCAATTTTTTATCAGTCATGTAAAAAATCAAGCAGATTGAAACTCAAAATTGTACTTAATATTCTGCGTCAATTCTTTGTGCACACATGGACAATAGTTACCTTTAACATGCATGTAAATCTCATGAGTATACAATTCTTGGTTGCTGATTTAGGGTTTCTAGCGAGCTTGATTGATTTCGCGTTTTCGAAAATCAAGCAGATTGTTATATGCAAACTCAAAATTGTACTTGATATTTTGCGTCAAGTCTTTGCGCACACATGACAATAGTTACCTCTAACACGCATGTAAATATGCAATTCTTGGTTACTGGTTTAGGGTTTCTAGGTGTTTGTTTGAGTGAAATTGATTTCGTGTTTTCGGAAAATCAAGCAGATAATGTAAACTCAAATTTGTACTTAATATTCTGCGTCAATTCTTTGCACACACATGGAAATAGTTACCTTTAACACGCATGTAAATCTCATGAGTATACAATTCTTGGTTGCTGATTTAGTGTTTCTAGCAAACTTGATTAATTTCGCGTTTTCGAAAACTCAAGCAGATTGTTAAATGCAAACTCAAATTTGTACTTAATATTCTGTGTCACTTCTTTGCACACACATGGACAACGGTTACCTTTTAACACGCCTGTAGATTTCATGAGCATACAATTCTTGTTTGCTGATTTAGGGTTTCTAGCGAGCTTGATTGATTTCGCGTTTTCGAGATTGTTATAGTAATAAGTATACGCATTATATGCAGTACTCAATACATTATCATAATATGAAGATAAAATAAAGAGGTTAGTCAGAAGCACATTCCTTCATGACTCTTCATGCAATTTTGTTCTCACGTGGAATTGCAATGAGAAGCTTACCTGGTAATGTAATTGTATACAGTGTGTAACAAAAAAAACCGGGTATTTTTTTATGCGACATAAACGCGTCCCACGCGTCTGTTTTCTATCCGATTTGAGAGCTGTAAAATGGAAATAAAAACGATAATCAGGTGTGTATTTGGGAGTTGTTCTACAACTTGATTATTAACACAACTTTTGTTTCATATACAAACGCAATGCCGTTTCTAACAAAAAACACAACGTCAATGCATATTACATTTGTGGAATGGACTGGACATCAAATAGTCCTGATTTAAACTCGATAGAAAACCTTTGGGGTATTGTTAAAAATAACGTAGAAAGACGAATGCCAAAAATCTTGGGGAACTGGAGAGTTTTATGGAAGAGAAGTGGAATAGAATTCCGGAAAGCATGTTAATTAATTTGGTGGGATCAATGAAAGGACGTTGTGAGCTCATTATTGAGAAGAATGGGAAACGGATTTCTTATTAATTATTATCAAATAAATTTGGTTGTTTTTACCTTTCAAATGACTCATTATTTGTAAAAATTGGCTAACTCATTGAAGAGCAACGGCAAAATAAAAATATCCAGGGTTTTTTGTTACACACTGTATATATACTGACAGCCAAGCCAGCTTAAGTTGGCATCTTAATCTGCATAAAGTCTCAGTAATATCAAGTTCCATTCAGAAAACTTTATTACCCACTAACAGAATAGTCTCAGATTTCACATTTCCCTCTCACTATACTAATACCTTATTACTATATGTATATATTACTTATGGAATCTTCTTTCCCTTAACGGCTGCTATAATAACCAAGTGGTAATAATTAAGAAGGTTGTTCGTAGATAAAACTCTTCAGAGTTTTATTCTTGGTTGTCTCAAAAAACTGAACGGGAATCTGTTAAAGCACTCTTAGAAGATGTTTTGCAATAAGCATCTACTGCTTGACACAGAGGACTGTTTCAAGTTTTAGTGTGTAGCTCAGAACTACGTTTTGTGTTATAACGCAAAGACCAAGTTGCTAGTTGCACGAGTATGTAATCATCATTTATCATAGGACCTGGTAAGTCAATCCCAAGAATAAATGACTTGTGATTTTGCAGTGGTATTACTAATGATGGGTGTTAAAATCTGTATAAGTAATTGTGTTGGTGAGCACTTTCCAATGCGATTCAATTATCATATTAGTTTTCCGAAAGGTATTTTTTGGATAACAGCTTCTAGCCCACAACTCCCAGCAACTTTCTGTATACTAATACCTAATACCATGAAAAATAGAGGTAACGCCATAATAATAAGTGCGGGCTACTGTTGTTTATGCAGAATTCATAGATTTCCTTGACTGATCTACTCCAAATATCATCGACCATTTAAAAACGTTCCATTCTTGTCAATAGGAATGAGAAGATGCTTTTCTATTATTGTGCAAGACACCTAAATATTAATATAAAGACCAAAATTTCTTATCAATCACATGACATTTACCCAATAAAATTTTTTAAACCATAATGCAAATTTCGCAAATTATGACACTTTTTGTCTGCGATACTTCAAACTCCGGGTCAAAATGATCTCTGTCTAAGAACAATAATATTGAAACTTACTTTATCGTTTTCCCAAATTTTCCACCTGATAAATCATCACTCAATCCCGTTTTCATTAATTCAATGTGCTTGATTCAGGTTGAGTTTATCCCCTTTAATAACTTTGCCTCTCTTATTTTAGCTTGGTCGGGGCGTATTAAAACAATAAAGAATGTTACGAGAACGATAATGCTAAACTTTCACTTTATTGGATAATGGACTGTTACACGAATAGTTGTACAAACTGGATTTTCATTTTTTTTAGTTGATCAAGAATTTTAAACCGTAACTTTTATTCTACTTCGTCTGCTCTATTATTCTTACGGATTAGTTTTTCTCTAAATCCTCTAATATAAAAGCCTTAGGGTTTTGAAACTTGGGTATTTTATTTCGGGCTTTAGGTGTCTTACACCATACAATACCCAAAATGTTGTTTTAAACCTCATTGGCGCAGACCGATTTCCGTCATTTAGCGGTTGTATAAATTTTTAATGAATGAAAAATTTGTGAGATCAGTTGGTGTAAAAAAACTATATCTTTCCTGCTTCTTACTCGAACTAATTTTGGTGAGTATATAGCCTTCTTTATGTGCCATAGACAAAGTTGAATGTGACTCTCATTCCATACTGATTTAGCAGCGTTAATTTCAGCAAAATCCTTATCGGTAAAAATGAAATCAGAATTTAACCCAAGACTTCGAAAAATGCGTGAAAAATTTCGTTAATACTGTTGTTTTTGTTAATTTATTATCTTGATATATAGATAACACGAAAGTATCTTACCAATTCAGCGGCTAATCTGTCGTTTGGTAAAGGGAAAGTATTGATTAAAAGGACAAAAAGGATAAATTAAATGTGGTAATTTTCTTGGTAGAATACTCTCACTTTAATCGCCATAAGTATTAGTAGCAAGTTAATATGAAACTACGATAATGTAATTATTGAATAAAATTTAAGTATTTATTATTATCGGATGACAATACAATAATTAAAATAATAGTACAATTTGCTTTAATTATGGTACAGTACACGGCATATAACGAGTCAATAAATTGAAGTTTTATACGTAATAACCTCAAAAAGACAACCCAAGTGGAGCAATGCTAAAAAATCTCACCATTTAGGCAAAATATATCGATATGGACAAATTTTCTCTAATGTCGGAAAACGTTTTCCTAAACGATTTTATTATTATTATTATGACACAAAAGTTATGCCGTACTCTGTTATTATTGGCGTATAAACAATGACACATTGTTTCCTTCTAATACGTGTACAATTTTTTGTCTATCTTTTTCTTCTGTGAAAAATCAGTAAAAAAAAAATTTTGACAAATTTTCTATGACACAAATTAAGGTTACTACTCAACTTTTCAATAAATTACGAAAGATAGAGACAGATATAAAAAAATTGGTAGTCGACAAAAAGCATTTCTCGATAGCGTAAAAGAAATATTGATAGTGTTTTAGAAACGCTCAATGGTTTCAGTAACATTAATAATAATAATTTGTCACCGTCTTCTTCAAGTTCAAGTTCCTCCACACAATGACTATTACCGTGCTTACTAAAAAAATAAGCAGTCTACATAAGCGTGCCAAGTTAATTGAGGATGGTGTTTTACTCGATAGCACGAACTTGGACCTAGGACTTATTTACCACTTAAATAAGCGGTTTACTGATGACAGAAACGAACTCGTTATGGAAGCATGTATAAAAGTGATGGAGGAAGAGTATAATGTCCAGGATAAAGACGTGAGTTAGTCTGTATAAATAAATTTGTTTAATCAATATTTTAGTCTGACACGTAATTTTAAACAACGAGAAAATTGGAATAGATTTAATATAAGACGAATAGTGCAGACGTATTTTGTAACGTTAAAGCGTGCAGCAGGGAAATCAGGGAAGATGAAGAACGAAGCGACTCGAAGTAGACGAAATAAACGGATAATATATGTATTCCAAATTATATTTCTGAGTCTGCTATATCAGATTTTCGATAACCGATATTAATATTAATGTAACAGATTTGTGACCGTGTAAATATTTACAACTTAATCCCAATGTTTGTAACACTATGGATATCGTCCCCCAAATGATTAGCCAAGATATTAGGCAATAAAGTTCTACAGGTGAAACCTGTTTAAACCGGTTTAAACAGTGGGTCATGTGACTTCTATTATCATGTAACATCGAATATAACATGCTATGAGTGCTATTGGTATTAGTGTTGAATTTTTCTAAACTCCCTTGTTGGAAGCTGTCTACTCGTTTTAACTTTATATCAGGCAATAAATTGACGCAATCTACGTATGTCGTTCTTTCCCGCAGGAAAATTGTCAGGCTGTTGTTCGAGAAATTCTGATTTGAATATTGTCGACGCAGTTTCATATGATATTTTTTGTGTTTCAATGACATCAACCTCAACCTCAACCTCAACCTCAACCGGATCATCTTCATTTTGACCGTTATGCAGGATTGATTGAATAATAACTTCATCATTGAGTTCTTCTCCCAGCGAAACTAAACTGTCACTACGTAGATATACAAATCTCAGTTAACCAAGTATTACTAATTCAATAAATAACTATGATGTGTACTTTCAGCAGTTTCTATATCCTATAATGTAATTGTGACAGAAGATTTTCTAAACGGTTACAATCGTTTTGAGCTTCAATTTCTACTTGCATTGCCGCTTCTCCCATATCATAGTCCGGCAGAATGTCAGTCTTCTTCCAATAGTACTTGTTTTAACAAAATTCCATGTGACTGCGACTGTATATATGGTATCCTTGCTAGTGATAAATATAAAGCGCTGTTATTTAAAACGTTGTCATAAACATCTAAACATTATCCCTCAAATAGTCTATTTGGGGAAATTTTCTTGCCGTGTAACAATATGCCGGTTTTTAAAAATCACTATTACTATCGCTATTGGGGATGATTTACATATTATGCATCTTGTGTAACTAAATAATTGCCGCCGGTTTAACGGTATAACCAGAGATACTATTGTGGGTGCCCTTAACTTACACCCTGGGTGTACAAACAGATTAATGTATAGATCAGCTTAATCAACTTATCAACGACTAGTACCCAGGTCAAGGAGAGCATTTTCTTATTCATAAAACAGCGAATATTCGAAAGTTATATACTGGATCTGTTAGTAAACTTTAAGCCTAATGCAAATACTTTCACTACGGTTCTATTTTATATTAAGTCAGGCATTTTATTAGCGAGATCTACATTCTTCAATACTTTAATTATTGTATGTCAGTCGGAATTATAGAATATGCGTAAACTTAATTGGTTTTCTGCTTCGGTTTTGTCTTATCACTATGTCAAGTTCTTGGATGTGCGCATACAGTGTTTTATTGACTATAAGAGAGACATATCAATTGTGAGGGTTAGTTACATGTTAGCCATAATCACAAATATCTGTATTGTTAAAAGTAACCTTATTCCAAAGATGTCTGATTTATTGGAATTAATTTTATTATTCAAATATCTCGAATTCTCTGCGCATTTCATTGTCATTCGAATATTCGCTGCTTTATGAAAAAGAAAATGCACTCCGTTGACCTGGGGTACTAGTCTTTAAAGTCCAATTAATAAGCTGCTCTATAATTAATTTGTTCGTACACCAGGGGGTGTACGTTAAGGAGATCCGGTTTAACGAGATTTGGAATTTTGTTTGTCGTGAGTCGGCCGGTTAAACCCAATCAGCGCCGGTTTAACATGTTTCATCTGTAGATGATAAAAAAAAATTGTACTACAAATATTATAAATTAACCGAACAACCATCTCCCAATCTTGGCTTACGTTAATGATGGGTGACTCTAAATTCAAAGTCGCAGATGGTCAACAATTAAATAATTCCAATTATGTGTTGCCAAACGATTCGGGAGAAGAAGAGAGATTAAACATACAACACCTTATCTTTAAACATGCCTTCAATGGGAGTTTTTCAGCACCCGTCGACCAACTGTTGAAAAGTGGGGCAAGGGTACTTGATGTCTGGTTAGTTGAGCGATGGTAAAGAGTTTAATGGTTAATCTACACGCCAATCAATTACTTATAATCTATCATTACTTTTCTTCACAGTTGTGGTTCAGCCGCTTGGACCTTAGAATTAGCCAAGAAATACCCTAATTCTAATTTCATCGGCATAGACATTGCACCTGTGGTCCTTGCGGACGAAAAGCCTAGTAATGTCGAATTCGTAGAACATAATGTCCTTGACGGACTTCCTTTTGATAGCAACTCATTCGATTACGTATTTGCCAGAGCTGCTGTCTCAGTGTATACAAGAACACAATGGACTGAGCTTGCTATTCCCGAATACACGAGAGTTACCAAGCCAGGTGGATGGGTAGAGTTGATGGAGTTTGATGCTCTAAGAGGTGAAGACGATATTAATATTCAACGTGTGTATGATGCATGTAAGTTGAGGATTCATTGATAGATGCAATGTAATATAGTCCCAATGCTTTTATTTAATTAATGATTTCTTCTTTATACTTAAGGGGTTATTCTGGCTGAACCGAAAGGTTTAGTTGTGTCACCTGGCTCGGAAATCCGGGGCTTTCTGGAACAATCTGGTTGGTTGACGAACATTGGTTATGTGGAAAAGTCTATCCCAATAGGACCAAAGGGAGAAAAGTATGCCGAAATGGTGAGTAAATACAATGACATATTATTGGTGGAATCCATGACTGCAGTTTTTTACATCTATGTCAACGCAACGTTTTACACTATACAGGCAATACGAAGCTTTCAGGACGTCTGGCGTGGACTGAAAATTCCCTTTTCAGCAGTAATGCAGGTGACTGGGGAGCAATATGATGCTATTATCGAAGCAGCAGTCCAGGGGCTCATAGATAAGGGTACCACTTGGAAAAATATGAGGGTATGGGGTCAGAAAAAGGATAATTCTGTTTAGTAATACAGTAAACCCTCTCTAATCTAATATTGGGACCCGCCGATATGGATATCATTGGGGCTAAATAATGACGTGATGTCATATGTAATGATAATATATGCGATACTTATGTCTGGAATTAAATCTTGAACTTTATTTATAACCAAAATTTTTTATTTTTTTCTCCATATAAACTATAAGCCCATTTGTGAATTGCGATTCTCTCTCCGATGAAAAATCTGTTAACTGTTTTTGTAGCGTCGCTCCGTATATATTCGATTGCAACAAATTTTGCAATTTGCTTGGCATTGTTCCAATGTCGTAGAATGAGAACTTTTTTCGATTCAACGTCGCTGCCTTCATTACGTGATATTTGATAATGTAGATCAGAATTTTAAATTTTAAAATGGTAATTTATTTTGATGTCGATATTAGCGAGGTACATTTGATTAGGATAAAATCTGATTCGTGTTTATAGGGATATCAACGGGTATGATATCCAAATTAATATATGCGGAAGAAAAATCCGTTCTGTAACCATCGTTGTTAATAGAGAGAGGTTGATATTAACAGGGAAGTGTTCAAAGGAAAGTAATAAAGAGATAAAAATATTGGGGGTCTAATATTCATAGTATAGAATTTTTATTCGATTCGATACCATCAATGACGTATTGTAATTAAGATACCCATCCTTTCGTTAATATTAATATATGAAGATAAGAATTTTTACCAAACTCGGCAGATCAACGCTTTCGCAAAATCGCAAAAACCAGAAAATAAAATTTACATTAGCAACAATTATAATAACTGTCAACACGCATACCAAGTTTTACTACAAATTATTAATATTAATATTAAGTCAATTTCGAGCAATTTAATAATTGCAAATACAATATAATATGTAATTTAAATTTATGATTTTTTTATATTATGCATATGTCATTTGTGGTACGCTATTTACGTATATGTAATTCGTGGCAAAGGTCTCCAAACCCGTAACTAAAGTTATTGTATTAGCAGCACATCGCTTATAATATTTCATATCAAGCTAAATAGTTTTCAGCACAAAAAAAGCCTAGTTATTATGATTTGAACCTTTTTGCTCGCTATTATATTAGTAGCAACAAACTAAAACAAAGAGCCGGAAAACCTCAAACAAATATTGAGTATAACCATAAAGAGAATTAATTCTTCGATAACAATATTAAATATGTGACAAGTTTATTAGATTTTAGAAATTTCACAACAGCTTGTAAGAAATATGATCATTTTCTCGCTAAATTGCATCTAGTTTTTTACTATTCTCTCCGCATACATTTAAGTATGACAATTTATTCATGCGATAACTTGTTTGATGTTTTGTCATCATTAGTGTAGAGGAGGCAAATGTCTTCAACCATCAAATCTGAATTATATCTTGAATTTGCATTTGAAACTAATGTCAAGTATGGAAGCATTTGTGGAAATTTTATCACATATCGAAATTAACTGGTCAATTTCAAGCTTTAGCCTATCAAACTGCCCGCGTTTGTTTTAGATAGTAACATATATGCAAGCAAATGGCCATTTACATTCTAAATCCAAAAGTATCGTACGATCTGATCAACTTTACTGCTAAGCGTTCTCTGAATTTGCTGATCTAGCCCATAATCTCCAAGTCGATTTTGATATGAATTTTTCCAAATGTACGCCCATACATTTCAAAGATCATTTCTCACACAGACATAAGCCAAATTTTATCTGCCATAAAATATTGATTTGGTCATTTGGTATCAGTAAATGGAAATGAAATTGATAAACGATTAGATCCATAATAGTGTTACAGAATTCTTGAGGGCAAAAATTGTGGGTCAAGTCGAGTTTCTGTACAAATGTTGCCTCTAACAAATGGATGAAAATTTTTATCAATAAAATCAGTGTCAGCTCTGATTTGTCTGCAAACCTCTTTCCAACTGCTCTTTTTACATGCCAAAGACATAACTAAATTTGTTGAAGCCAGACCTGACTTGCAGCAAGCATTAATTTGTGCCCAGTTGTTATCTGTAAGAAAAAGTCCAGCTCCTTCAAATATAAAACATTAAAAAAATCAGAAAAAATTGACATTCAAACATTAGTGACTTAGTGATGCTGAAAAAATTTTAGCAGATCTGTGACTATGAGCCACACAAGCTATCTATATTATTGGGCAAGTTTAATTACACAAGAAAAAAGGCTGTCCCATGACTTGTTATATCTGAGTAAAGGACCTGTGTCAGTTTGGACTGAGACAACTGAGTTTTGGATTACTATGTTTTATTGTAAAAATAATGTTAGATCAACAATTTTTGTTGACTATGCATGCTAACTCCCTTAATTTTTCATCATAACACTCAGCAAGTTTTTGACTATGCATGCTAACTTCCTTAATTTTTCATCATAACATTCAGCAAGTTTCTGATTACTCTTTTTCAACTATAATAAGGGTCATGATAACGTAAAGTTACTGCATCTTAAAATAATAGGATGCAAAAATAAATCTCAAAATGTACAACGTTTACATAGTTCTTATAAGTAAAATACATTATTTACATAATAAAATTTAGTTTAAACGGTTATAAAATTAATGATTAATTAATATATCTTTGTTAAGTGTATGTGAACGATTATTTTGAAAATCTAAGCCCGAAACAATAATTTGTAGTAGTTCCAAAAAGCTTCGAATTCATGTTCTGACGCTGAGTTTCAATGACTTGAAAATAATTAATAAACTATTTCTAACTTTTATTCTGATAAACTAAAACGATAACCATAACTTATTGAACATTGATCTACATTGCTGAATCGGCGATTTACCTTAATATTTGGATTAAATGCATAACTAGACTTATTGCAAGCGATTCGATATCAAAACCGATCGGTTCGAACTAGAGGGCGATAAATGAATACCGCTCTTAAGTTTCCTGAAACGGCTATCGTGAAGAAGGAACTTACGTAGCAATATGGTATGAAGCAAGTTTTACTGTAAGACTTCCGCTATTAGTATGAGTATTAAGTATATAATTTAAAAAGTTCAAATATTAAATTTGGTGCATATTATAATGACTACTATTACTATTGTTGATTATTTACTGCCTCACCAAACTGAATAAGAATAAGAATAAGAATAATTGTTGCATGTATTATTTATAGAATATGTAACTATAAGCTAATCGAACAGTATGTTCAATTACGCCGCGCCGACTCTTACAAAAGCAGGTGCATTTAACGAACGAAATAAATCTAACGCATGTCGTTGAATGATTGGATCTCGATGCATAGTGTATGTCATACAATTTATGCTCTTGAATGCTATCTTTTTTTGTCAATAAGCAAATCTGAACAAATAATATGTGTTGAATTATTGAGCTTCGAACTCATTCTTATTATTGAACGATCTTGTCCGTTAAATGTAGCTTAAATTATTTTTAGTGGCTACGCCCCCGCCAACACAGCAACCGTCATTATAGTACAGTTAGATTTAAATGTGGTGGCGTAAATTAATTATACACGTGATTTGCATTGAAACTATTGGTACAATTTTCTAGCAGTATGTATTTTTTATGTTTGTCTGTATTTTGATATTTGCATTTTCATGCCCGAGTTTTCGATGTGTGGGTTAGTTTGTAAACATAGTCCAGATCGTACAATAATTTGCATTGAAATTATTGGAACAAGTTTTAGGATTAGACTGTAAATATAATATTAATATATATTTTTGATCTAACCGCCAATGATTTGCATTGAATTACGGTTAGACTATCAATGTATTCTAAACCGTACAACGATTTGCATTGGTGCAAGTTTTATCATTACGGACTAGATCATAAACATAGTCTAATTTGATCCAACTATACAAGTTGGCGTTCAAATAATTGCTTTTAGCACTACGGTTAGTCTATAATGTATTAGAAAATGTAGTAGTCTAATCGAACGATGAATGCATTGAACTATTGTTAGACTGTATGTTGTATGTCGGCTTAGATTGGACATGTAACAGATTGGAATAACAAAGACAATCAAATAACAACGCTAGTGATGATGACTCTTCTACTGTGAAAAACGAGAGTATTAATTGGCATGTCATTCTGGAAGAATGCTTTATTACAGAATACGTTAGTGATTGTCTTCCTATTTGTGGGTAAATACAATGTGTGTAAACATCGCCTGATCTGACATATCATTGTGGAAAAAAGCCGAGAAAATTAAAATGGCGTAATAGATTTGTGAAAATATGCTTTGACTTACAGAATACGTTAGCGATAGTCCTTCTATTAGTGCATGCAAAGACAATCGTGAGCAAACACCGATCGACATATTGTAAAAAAAAAGGAAAGAAAAACGCTTTGGGTTAGTAAATCGTTAGCTGAAATTCTCCCATTCGTGTGGTTGCAAATTCACAATTCATGGTATTTAAGACTTAACCATCTTGGTTTAAACTTGGGCTACACACATATACCAGCCAACTTGTCAGCCAAATTTGGCTAAATACGGACGGATCGTGTGAAATTAACAGATCTGCAGTTTGAGGATTTTAATTTACTAGAAGATTGATTTATAACAATAAACAGAATGATAGTAATAGGACAGCATACGTCATATCATTGTGCGTTGTTATTGCTTATCAAGAAAGTCCGCTCTATTACACAATCTGACGGTTATTATATGTCAGCATGTTTAAATTTAGTCAATATGTATGCTTTGCAAACTCTAGTAGTATGTTTATGTACGTTTTGGGACAGACGATAAAAATTCGATTGCGTCGTCAAAAATTCGATCGTCGTCAGTATATCATTCTGCTTTTCGATCGTCACTCGAAGCCTTTCTCTTAT